GCACTCCGTCCCCGGCGTGCAGGGAGTGCCTCTTCCTTCAGACTGTACTCTGGGCTGCCTGCTAGAGAAAGGGTTCCCTGTTGCAGGGAGTGTGCAAGCCCAGGTCAGGCTTGTGAGTATTGGGGTGCCACGCCCTGAGCAGCACACACGCACGGAGAGCGCCTGGCCGGCGAGGAGGCAGGCAGCCCCCGGGATGGAGCTTCCCGTCAGACACACCTCCGGGAGCTCGGGGAGCGCAGATCTCTCCACTTGGGAAGTCTCTTAGCGGTCCATCTGGAGGCGATCTAGGGGGAGTGGTGCAGCTCTTGGGCCCTGGGTAAGATGTATCAGGGCTCCAGTGCGGGCTGAGGCCTTGTGCAAATGCCTCCCCCCACCCCACCTCAATGACTTCATCTCTAAAGTGGCATTAAGCATGGTACCTCCCTTCTGCGTGAATCAGATGGCGGCAGGCATGAGAAGGGCTGGGTGCAGTCAATACCTGCACTCAGTGTTGCCTGTCTTTCCAGCAGCCTCCCTATAGGAGGGGCTCCAGCAGGGAGAGGCTAGGAGCCCCTCACTGAGCCCTGATTGCCCAGGAAGGGCCTCTTTTGCTACTCCCTTGGGCAGGGATGTGGGACCCAGGGCTGGATGCCAGAGAACATGACTCTGGGTGTTCCGGGCTACCCTGGAGGTGGGGCCTTGCCAGGTGCTGGGCCCCATCTGCTTGCCCAGCCACCGCTCATTCATTCATGGAGCCGGTGCCCACTGCACACCTCCCAGGTTTATTTCCTGGGCCACCTCTGGGCTTTGATTGGTGAGCAGGCTTGCTAGATCCGATCTCGGCACTGCTGCTCTGGGGAAAAATCTCTGTTTTCTAGGAAGGAAACCAAGGCCCAGAGAGGGACAGGGACTTGGCTAAGGCCTCAGCTCCTTCGTGACTTCCTCTCCCCAGCTTCTTGGCAGCTTCTTGCGGGTTCACCCTGTAGCGACCAGGGAGGAGCCTGGCATTTGGGAGCAACACGTCTGCGGTGGGTAATGAGGGCCTGGCTGTGCCTGGCGACACCTGGCGAGGCTGACTCCCCTGTAAATACCTGGGGATCCCCCGCACTTCTTCAAATCCTCACTGCACCGAACTTGTGTCCTTCACCCAACATTTATCGCAGCTTTTGAGCACTGTTCTGGGCCTGAGGAGTAGAAAGGGACATAGAAAGACTTTGTCCCTACTCTTAGGGGCCTACAGGGGGGAAAGACGGACACTGCCCAGGAATGGTACCAACTAGCAGATCCCGAGTCATGTCCCCATTACACAGGCAGAGTAGCCCCTCTCTCGCGCTGGCGTGCGCAGCCGCTCATGTTGAGGTCACCCTGGCAACATCCCAGCTGGGGCAAACAGTGTGTGCAAAGGGCCAGGAGTAGGACAGCGCATGGTGCATCTGGGGAACAAGTCCTGTCCCTGGATCTGGGGCAGAGGTGGCAGGAAGCACGCCAGGACTCTGCAGAGCCTGGAGGTCCAGGCTGAGGAGAGCAGGGCCCAAGGGCAGTGGGAGCCACAGCGGGGCTGGGATCGGAGCCTGGTGAGGCCAGAGTTCTTGGCAGCAGCCACAGGAAGGCCCCAAGGCAGAGGCGGTGGTGGGACAGACTGAGGGGGTTGCTGAAGGCTTGGTGGCACCTGCCACCCTGTGTCCTCACCGCCCAGAATCTCAGTGTCGGGTTGGTTGGGGAGGGGACACCAAGGCGCTGACGAGGGAAGGGACTCTATCACCAAACTGGAGTGAGGGGCACCAGCTCCTGAGCCTGCGTTGCTGTCCTCAGCCACTTCAAAGCCGGCCCCTCCCGGATGCTTCCGCCTGGTGTGTCGCTCGGCCCTCGGAGGGCACCTTCCCTGCTGCTCACGGCAGCTGCTTCCTCCTGGGTTCTCCCAGCCTCCACCTGAGCCCCAGCATGGAGGTGTCAGGGGCCAGGCCGAGACCCCGGGGGTGAAGTTCACACAGATAGCGTATGCTGGCACCGGAACTGAACTGTGACCCTGATCCGAGTGGCTGCGTAGCCACCTTGTCTTAAATGGTGGGGGCGACCTTCAGACTCAGTCTTGCCTGTGCGCTGGAGGAAAGTGGCTCTCATTGCTGGGCCTCAGTGTCCCCATGTGTCACAAAGCCCACAGGTCCTCACACTCATCAGTCAGGCCGGTCAGGAGGCTGCTGACCCACTGTGCAGGAGACGGATTTCTCGCCCAGGGAGAAGCTCCAGGAAATGGCTCATCGCAGTGGGTGGCCACCCTGGGCTTGGCCCTCGGAGTCTTGGGGACCCAGGCTGTGTGATGTCCTGAGAGTGTCAGGCTTCCCCGGAGGCTCAGGACTCGACTGGCACAGCCCCAGCATGGCACTGTGCCTCAGAGCCTGCTCTCCCCTGTTTCCAGGCTGCCTCCCGGCACAGGGCCCCTCTGCTATCGTCAGACCAAGTGGGGTTCAGGTTCCTGCTTGAGCGAGGTCATGGCTATGGAAGCTGGACCAGGCCAAAGACTCGGACCCTCAAGTCCCGTTTCTGGCTGGCTGGGGACTGGGCAAGTCACAGAACCCCTCTGGGGCCCCTTTCCTTTGTCTGTGGAGTGGGGACAGTAAATGCACCTGCTTTAAACTCATGGCCCATGAGCCCTCGTGGCCCCTCTTCTGAGGCCTGTGCCCTGTCTCCATCCTGGTCCTCTTTCTCCCGCAGGTGATCTCTCTGGCCACCTCCTTGCCTACCTGAGCCTCAGCCCTGTGTTTGTCATTGTTGGTTTTGTGACCCTCATCATCTTCAAGCGGGAGCTGCACACGGTGAGTCTGTCCCCGCCGCCAGGCCCGTCCCGAGGTGTGGAGCCGCTGCAGGCCAGGTTGTTTGCTGCTGGAACTGGGCAGGGCCGAGAGGTCCGTGGAGGCCCAGCTGAACACATCTCCCCTTCCCCCAGATCTCTTTCCTTGGGGGCCTGGCCCTGAACGAGGGGGTCAACTGGCTGATCAAACACGTCATCCAGGAGCCACGGCCCTGCGGAGGTAGGAGCTGGGCTAGAGGGGCTGGGGTCCCCCAGGCTGGGGCATCGGCCCTTGATGCCTGGTCTTTGTGCCCTAGGCCCCCACACAGCGGTGGGCACTAAGTACGGGATGCCCTCCAGCCACTCCCAGTTCATGTGGTTCTTCTCCGTCTATTCCTTCCTCTTCCTGTATTTAAGGTGAGCCTCTGCCCGGGCTGGGCTCTGCCTCAGACTCACTGCCCACCCTCTGGATGCCCCTCAGGGTCGGGGAGCTACAGGGGGCACAGAAGGCTCCAGGAGCATTTGGCTGGGGGTGGCGCTCTTTGGGGGACCTGGACTTCAGCTGTGGGCTGAGCCCCGATGGCCTGTATTCCCAGAATGCACCAGACGAATAACGCCAGGTTCCTGGACCTGCTATGGAGGCACGTGCTGTCCTTGGGGCTCCTCACTGCAGCCTTTCTGGTCTCCTACAGCAGGTACAAAGAGGAACCCTGGCTGCACCCCACCCATGAGTTCTTGGGCCCTGTGGGCCCCATCGTGACCCCTGCTAGAGCCCAGAAGGGAAGGCTGGGAAGGGCCCCAGCCTCTGTTCTAAAGGGTTAGGGCTCTCATCGCCCTCCTTGCCCAGTTTGCTGACCTCATGGTTCTGGGGACACCAGCGTGCATTGGTCTTGTATTCCTAGCTCTTCAGTTTACAAGCTGGGTAGCAGGGCAGTGGACCCCAGTCGAGCCACCTGCTAGAGACTGGGGCAGCCTCTGGAAGGGAGCTGCCCACCCATGGGCGTCTTCCCCACGCTCACACAGGTCCCTGGTGGCCAGCTTGGCGTGGGGCATCGCGTTGCCTGTCCCCGGGGCTCTTGTCAACTTCCCTTCTGGCCTTGACCCAGGGTCTACCTGTTGTACCACACCTGGAGCCAGGTGCTGTACGGGGGCATCGCTGGAAGCCTCATGGCCGTCGCCTGGTTCGTGTTCACCCAGGAGGTCCTCACGCCGCTCTTCCCCAGGATAGCAGCCTGGTAACTGCCTCCGTTCTGCCCACCCTGCACCGTGGCCCTGACCCCTCCGGTGGGTGGACCAGGTGTCCTGACCCCAGCCCAGTCCCCCCAGCCCAGGTGGCAGGAGCTGCAGGCCACCTGCCTGCTTCCCACCCCCCAAGGGGCTTGCTGCAGGGGTGGGAGGCACCACCCTCTGTCCTTGCCTGGGGACTTATAAGGCAGCCAGAGTCGGCTGGGCTGGAAGTGCCCCGGGGCAGTGTCCCTGCCTGATGGTGCAGGTGACAGAGCCAGGTGTCTCAGTGGCTCTGGGGCCTCAGGCCTGACAATGGCACTGGAGGGGGCATTGCCAGCCCCAGGAACTAGGGAGGCTCCGTCTGGGTGGCAGCCGCGCCTGATGCAGTGCTGGCTGTCCGAGCATCTGTCCGTCCATCTCTGCAGGCCGATCTCCGAGTTCTTCCTGATCCGGGACACCAGCCTCATCCCCAACGTGCTCTGGTTTGAGTACACAGTGACCCGGGCAGAAGCCAGGTGAGTTAGGGGACTGCAGTCCCCACTGCCCCTTACCTACAGGGTCCCCCAAAGCCAGGCCTTTGCCTGCTTGTCTTCCATGGCCTCATTGAATTCTCCTGGGGCCCCCACTTTACAGATGAGCACACGAGGGCTGAGAGAGAAGGGAAGTCACCACCTGAGGTCTCTGAGAGGGGTGGGAGCCAATTGTCCCAGAGCCCTCGAATGGCACCTGTCCTGCCCAGAGCTAGGAGCAGAAGGCCCTGAGGTGCTTGGGGTGCCTGTGTGTGGCACCCATGGGCTCCCCAGTCCCATGGCTTGGGGTGGTGGGGTAGAAGCTGAGGTGCACCGAGCTGGGCGCCAGCCACAGTCACACAGCAATTCGGGGCACAGCTGGTCTCCCCTCAGTGCGCCGCAGTCCGGGATGGACAGGGGGCGCCTCTGCAATCAAAGGGCAGTGAGGAAGCGGGCTCCAGGGGACTCCAGGGAGGGCTCCCAGAGCAGGAGAGCAGCTGCTCCGCAGTGATAGGCTGGGCGTTTATTGTATCGGAATCCTACTGCACTAAGGAGCTCACGGTGAAGCCAGCCAGGATCCATGAGGAAAGGGATTCCAGGCTCAGGGCAGAGCAGCAGAAAGGCGCCACCTGGCCCTGCCCAGCCCTGCCCTGCCCACTGCCCTCATTCACCTGCGCCTCCTCACAACCCCGCCCTGGCCGTCAGGGTGCTGGGGTGCAGAGCCAGTGGACAGCCACTCCCAATACGGAGCTCACCCCGTCCCTGAGGTTCTGTGCGGGCCGACAGCCGGGCTAGCTGCCACAGCCCCTTGCTTCTCTCTGCGGGTCCCCGTCGGGCCGGCCGCCCGCTGGCCAGGCTGTGAGCCGGGCATCCTCATACCGCACTCTGCCCGTTGTAGGAACAGACAGCGGAAGCTGGGGACGAAGCTGCAGTGACCAGTGGGCATGGCTGGGTCCAGCCTCCAGATCTGGCCTGTGCGACGCCTCGCAGGGCGGACAGCATGACGGACAGAGGGACGAAGCAGAGACCTCTGCAGACCCAAAGTCACCAAGCGGAGCCTTTTTATTTTCTTATTTTAATTTTAATGGACAAGGTGGACCAAAGGGCCGAGCCAGCCCCTCAGCTGGGACCCTGGAAGGGCCGGCTGCCCAGGGCCACATGGCCACAGACCCTCGCTGTTGCCGCCAGTCCCTGGCATGGTGGCGCGTGCCCTTCGCCTGGGCACCAGGGTGTGGGAGGAGAGTAGGGTCTTGTGCGCTAGGCTTGGGCCCGGAGCCCCAGGCGGTGTGAGGCACACACACTATTTATTTCTTGGTTTTGTCAGAGGCAGGTGCAGTGGGGCCTCCCCCGCCCACCCCAGAACCTCTCAGTGTTTCCTGAACAGGGCAGGGCTGGAGCGAGCACCCGACTGGCGACTGCTGTCATTGTGTTCTTCCTTGTCCCCGCCCCACACCACAAGGGCTTTCTCTGGTCCCCCATCCCCAAGACAACTGTCCCTTTCTGACAAAAGAGCCTGCACATGTGGGTGCGCACACCCAGGCTGTTTACAGCTCTTTCTGTCCTGCCAGTAGCAGTCCTTGTCCTGCTCGAACAAACCAGGGGCCAGAGCCGTGAGCCCCGCTTCCCTGTGTGCTTGGAACTGTCCTTGTCCCTCCTGACTGAGGACCTGTTCCAGGCCAACCCTGGGCCTGGGACTGGGCTCAGGAGGGGCCCAGGAGACCTGGAAGTCAATTCAGCATTCACGGCAGGTGTGTCCAGGCTCAAAGTTTCCAGCTGTGCCGGCCCTGCAGACCTGTGTCCGACAACCCCTTTTCTTTGTGGAGGTTTCTCACCTGCTGCTGAAGCACAATGTTTTGGTGCTTTCTCTTCTCATTCGTTCAAGGCAGTGTCCAAAGCCATTCCCGATGCCAGGACCAGGGCTGATTTCTAGGGAGGCAGGTCAGTGCCCGTGTTCCCCCCCTCCCCTTAGGGTTTTTATTTTGTACTTTTGCTTGAGATAAGCCAAGTGTGAGGTGGTTTGATTTCAGAAAAAAAAAATCAATGAAATTGTTTACTATTGTTTTAAAATAAAATCTTAAACTCTGGCAGCTGGAGCAGGTGCTGACAGCCTGAGAGGGTTGGCGGACACGTGACCCCCAGACAGGGTATGGAAGAGAACATAAAATTATGAGCATCTCGTCACAGCACCTCATCCCAGCCGGGTGTGGTTTCGCACACCTGTCATTCCCGAATCCTGGGAGGCTGAGGCAGGAAGATCACAAGTTCAAGCCCAGCCTGGGCAACCTTGTGACTTGGTGAGACCCTGTCTGAAAAAATAAACAGGGCTGGGATGTAGCTCAGTGTTAAAGCCCTAGGTTCAGCCCCCAGTATTCAAAGCAAGTCAAGCGATCCAGTCCCCTGTGGCCCCCAGAGCAGGGGTCTGGGGAGCTGTGGCGTCTCCCACCTGGATCTGCTGGTGTGGTTCTGGGTGGCCGCTTCGCCGGGGTGGACTGGTACGGGGGTGGCCCTCTGCTGCTCTCAGCAAGCCAGGTTTGGAACAGCCGCTGCTGAGGCCGTGCTGGAGTCAAACCTGGGAGTGGCCCACACTGGGTCCACGGCCGTGGCCCAGAGTGAGGCCCAACCAGGAGCAACCTTGTCCCCGCCCACTTGCCAAGGCTGGACTGGGTCTCCCAGAACCTTGACCCTCAGTGAAGGCGACCAGACTGGTAGTGATCCCAGGTGTGGCAGAAGCAAACACCCTTCTGCAGGGAGGAGCCTCATGCTGGGCTTAAGATCTGCGTGTGTCCAGTACTTCTAAATGACGAAGGGGTCCAGTGTGGCTGTGGTGGAGGCACAGCCCATTGTAAACTGCATCTCCTGCTCCCTGGGTCTGGGCAAGTGACTACCTCCATCCGGCCAGGAGACTGGGTCAGGCCTGCCAGGCCGGAGACTGTCACCTCTGCCGCAGCTTCCCTGCCTTGGGAGAACTGGGTGATGTGTGGGGTGGTGGATTGGCCACGTGAGCTCCTCTGACCCTGGCCTGGAGGAGACAGAGGTGTCCCCTTGGAATTTCTGCCTGTCCACTTAAGTGTCCTGGTGACTCAACATCTCTGAACCTCAGTTTCCTCATCTGAAAAACAGGGAAGCTGGGGCATGGCCATGACCCTCCATATTTCTGCACTCTAGGAGGCTGAGGCAGGAGAACGGTGAGCTCAAGCCCAGCCTGAGAAACTTGTGCAACACTGTCTCAGAATAAGAAGGGCTGGCAATGGAATTTAGTGTGAAGACCCTGGGTTCAATCCCTAGTATTGCCGCAAACAAAACCCAAGTAAACCAGGGGCCTCACCCTCAGGTCAGCCCTGGCCACTCTGCCTACAGATCCTGCTGCCTAGGCACCTGCTCAGGTGTTTCTCATGTGCCTACTTTTTTTTTTTTTGAGACAGGATCCTGCTATGTAGTTCAAACTGGCCTTGAACTCACAGCAGTCCTGCCTCAGCCTCCTAGAGTGCTGGGATGACAGGTGCTGCCACCACACCCAGCTACTTTTTTTTTTTTTTTAAACAGTACTGGGCATTAAACCCAGGGTTCCATTATTGAGCTACATCTCCAGCAATGTTTCTTTTTTTTCTTTTGGTTTTGTTCAGACAGGGTCTCACTATGTAGTTCAGACTGCGCTGGAACTCACTGTATAGCTCAGGCTGGTCTCAAACTTGCAGCGATCCTCCTGCCTCAGCTTCCCGAGTGCTGGGATGACAGGTGTGCGCCACCACGCCCAGCTCCAGCAATGTTTCTGAGACAGTGTCTCCCTAAACTGCCTATGCTGGCCTTGAACTTCTGACCCTCCTGCCTCAGTCTCCCAGGTAGCTGGGGCTGTTAAGAGTGCACACAGTGCCCAGCTCTGCCTCACTGACTTCGGCAGCACATTCCGCCTCTGCGGGGTGCATGGGTAGAGACAGGGCCACAATTCTGCCTGGGTGGGTGTTTGTCCTGTGGCTGGGGTGGACATGCCTGGCCCTGGGCTCAGTGGGACCAGCTGTGGGCTCCTGCATGGCAGCCTGAGGATTCCTCTTGGCACATCTGGGAGCCCTTGGGCACTGGCTGCTTGGACACCAGCTCTCAGACCCTGGGAGAGGCAGAAGCAAGGCCAGGTCTCTGTCCCCGTGTGCGCTACCCTGCTGAAACTCATGTTCACCAGGCATTTCTCCTTTATTACTCAGCCGCCCACATGGTCACACTGTGCCACGGTGTGTGTCAGGAGAGGCCGGGCTCCCGAACCCCATCATCCACAGTGGCCACATGAGGACAGCCCCGCGAGCATCCCCTTGGCCCGTCCCCTGCCAGAGGCCCCAAGCCCTTGGCCAGAGGTAATCCTGTCTCTGGGTGGCTGGGAGACAGGATAGGGTATGGGCGCTGGCTTGGTGTGCAGATGGGAAGCTAGGAAGGAAGGAGCACTTTTTAGGCCCCTGGTTTGGCAAGTGCGGGGCTGGACTTGTCCCAGGCCCAGGGCGTGCGTCTTCTGTCCTGTTCAGCACTTACCCAGCACCGGGGCTGTGGCACTTCCTGGGACAGTCGTGGAAGGCACTTGGCTTGGGCCTGCAGGCCTTGTGAGAGGACACTGGCCCTGGCTCAGCCAGACCTGGGGCCAGGAGCTGTGGAAGCCAGGGGCAGAGCCCTGGCAGGTGTCCACCTCCCAAGACTTCAGCATGGCGCGGGCAGGCCTGGGCACGGCGGCTCAGAGCTTGGCCCAGGGGTGGCGCTGTAGCAGCTCGCGCATGTCCAGCAGGGCCTTCTCCAGGTAGTGTGCCATGCGGGCGGCGTTGGTCTCGGCACAGCTGTTGTAGGCCGACACGGAGAAGTTGACATGGGTCTCCATGGGGTTGTAGCAGACGCCATAGCCGTCGGGGACCACGGGCCCAAAGAACATGACACAGTCTGTCTTGGAGGGGACCTGGGCACAGCAGGAGCGGTCACCCCGGTCTGCCGGAGTCTGTGGGAGAGGCACCTCCTCCCTGCACATCGCACTCCCTCTCATCCTGGGGTCCCCTCCTCTGTGGGGCCCTGGCTTCTCCTGCCTCCCTCTCTGTCCTTGCCACCTCCCAGCACCCAGCACAGGCTGGCAGAGATCAGGCGATTGCTTGCAGCTGACCAGCAAATGGCAAAGCCAAATCCCTTACAGGGCTGGGGGCCGCCTGCTCAGGTGCCGGGGTTGCCATGCGCCACCCAGCCCCCAGATCCTCCTGGGCACTGCAGCTGCTCTGGCTGTGGCCCATCCACATGGCCCACGCCCCAGCCACAGTGGGATCTCCGCTCATGGGGCAATGCCCACCTGGCTGGTGGAGAGGTTAAAGTGCATGGCGATGGCGTAGGAGGTGTCCATGAAGATGTCGGGCATGCTCACCAGGTCCTCGATGGCCTGCAGCTTGAGGCCCAGCAGGTGGCGGTCGAAGGCCTCCCCGTGGATGGCCTGCAGTGAAGGAGTTGTCAGGAACAGGCGCGAGGCCACAGGCTGTCCCCTGCCTGCCGCTGCCTGGCTCCTACTCACCCGGTCGGTGTAGGCCCGGTGCGCTTGCACGGCCTTCCGCAGCAGCTCTGCTCTCTGCTGCTCCTGGAAAGTGGGCAAGGGGCTGAGACGCTGTCCCTCCCTGTGCGCCACCGCAGGCTCCCACTGTCCTTAGCGCTGTGTAGAGCTGCCAGGGCCACACGGGGCAGGGCTAAGGCTCACTGCTGGAGGGTGAATGACTGAAGGGACGGGTGGATCCTTTTCTCTGGCTGTCAGACTCCCACTGCCCACCACGGGGCTGGCACGGCGCACGGGGAAGGGGTGGCTCACATGGTGCCCGCCCTCGCGCGATCCCTCACCGGCACGCTGGAGTCGTCCATGGCCTTGGCGAAAGCCAGCGAGTCCATGGAGGCCGATCGGATGGTGTCAGTGCGGCCCAGATGGAACATGCGCAGGGAGGCGCTCTCGTAGGTGGCGCAGCACTGGCCATAGATCCTGGGCAGAAGGGGTCGTGAGCACTTCGGCAGGGGAGGCCGCCCACCCACCCGCCCCAGGGCCAGGGCCAGGGCCAGGGCCAGGGCCGCACCTGTAGTAGGCCAGCTGCAGGGCCATCTGGAAGAAGCCGTCGGGGCTCAGCTTCTGGGCCTTGGGGAAGCTCTTCCCGAAGTGGTGGAACACCAACACCTTGATGTCCAGGTCCCGGATCATGCTGGGCGGGACGGCGGGTGAGAGCCAGCCCAGCCTGGCAGCCCCTACCCCTGGGACGCAGGGCAGTGACAGCCACTTACATGCTGAGGTTCTGCTTGGCCTTCTCGATGTCGTTCTTGATCTCGGGGGTGATGTTGAACCGAAGCTTCTTGGGCATGGGCAGGGGCACCATGGGTGAGCGCACAAGCTCGGGCTTCTTCCTGTGCAGAGCAGGTGGCATGTGCCAGGGTGGTGGGGGTTGGCAGGGCCGGGGAGGTGGCCCCACCGCAGGTCACCTGAGGATGAGGGAGTCGGTACTCACGTGTGCTCCATGACGTGGTCCACCAAGGCGACAATGGGGGGGCCCTCAGCCGCCGCGTGCTCATAGATGAGCCCACAGGAGCCGTCCTCAGCCACGATGAACTGCGAGGGATGGGGGCCCTTCAAGCGGACGTGACTGGGCTCTCGGGGTGACACTGACTTTCTGCTGTTAGTGATGGCTGCCATCTGTCAGACAGCCTGCCTCCCCCACCTTCCTAATCCACACCCCAGAGTCCTCCAGGACCATAGCGGGGCGTGTTCCAGGCACCCCATGTCCCAGGCACAGCGAGGGACTGTCATGTCTGACCCCAGACCCCGCAGAGCTGTGTGGGGTTTGTGTTTGTGTGTGTGTGTGTGTGTGTGTGTGTGTGTATGTGTGTGAGAGAGACAGAGGCTTGGCAATGACACATGGTGCCCCCTAATTACGGCTGGTCCTGCTTTACCACGCGGCCCCACCTGCAGTGTCTTGTCGAACCAGCGGTTGCCGCTGTTGAGCGATTCACCGCCCCCGTGCAGCATCTGGCCGGCCACGTGGTTGCGGTAGACGTCCTCGGAGACCCGGGGCACGGGCTTGTCCAGGCACACCGTGAAGATGCTCTTCTGGACGGAGCGCACCGAGTCCCGGTTTACCTTGTCTGCGGGCGGTGGGGGCGGGCGAGACTCAGGACCTGGGGTGGGGGCTCCCGGTCTAGGGACCCCGAGGAGGCGTCCACTGCCTACGGGGTGATGCTCCCATCTCATCCCTGACAGGGCCCCGCGGCAGCACCCGGACTCCCAAGCCCCTGGCCCCGGGAGACGGGTCCAGCGCTGCTCCGGCCCCTGCGGCCCACACCTTTGATGAGCGTGTTGTAGGCCTTGGCCCAGGTGTTGCGGTGGTTGGAAGTCAGGATGCCCACTGGCTCCTTATTGGTTTGCAGGGACGAGTTCCAGATCTTCTCCAGCTGCACAAAGATCTGGTCCGAAGTGAGGGGCGTCCCGTCACTGTGGTACACGTCCAGCTCAAAGAACTGTGGGGCGAGGCGGGAGGGGAGGTCACCAGAGCCAGCGCGGGTGTGGGTGTCAGGGAAGCAGCTGGGCAGGGCTCTGCGGCTCAGGCTGGCGACACCCACCTGGTAGTTGTGCACCACGGTGATGTGCATGGGCGGCTTCTTGGTCTTTAGGAAGTTGACGACGGAGTCCTGCTTGGGGCCCGGCACACGGCAGGAGGACAGGATCTGGTAGTACTGGTTCATGCACAGCGGCTTCCCCGCCAGCTGCTCCACGGGCAGGGTCTCGCTGTGGGGCGGGGCACAGAAAGCGGGCAGGTGGACGGGGCCTGGCCTCAGCATCTGTGCTCCCTGTGTGAGTAGGGGCCATCGGGACCAGGGGCTTCAGGAGGCCTGTGATCCCCTGGCGGGGGCCCTGTACATGAGTCACCCAGAAACTCCCACTCTGGGCTTCAGTTTGCTGTGGGGAACATAAGATAGCAAGTCAACTTCTGGGATGTCTCTTCTCTCTTTTTTTTTTTGAGACTTGGTCTTGTTATGTAGTTCAGGCTCTCCTTGAACTCATTATGTAGCCCAGGCTGGCCTCAAAATTCCAGTGACCCTCCTGCCTCAGCCTCCTGAGTGCTGGGATTGCAGGTATGTGTTGCCACGCCTGGCTCAGGGTCGTCCTTGGTTGGGATGGGACAAGGCCCACAGGAAGACAGCCCAGCAGCAACAGTGGAGAAGCTCGGTGTCCCAGTCACCAGTGTGTACTATCCCAACCCTCACTGAAGCTGGCCTGACAGGAAGCGGAAAGGACTGACCTTGGCCTGCCCAAGGGCAAGGGTGGCTGAGGGTAGGGTGCTCACTTGTCAATCATGCTCTTGAAATCCAAAACGCCCTCGATGAGTTTGGCAGCAAACCTGAGGGATCAGTTAGGGAGGTGAGGCTGTGTGGACACCGGGGGCCCCAGGCCAGGAACGTGAGCTGGGGGAGGGGGCCATGGCAGGAGCCTCTGGATTCCCACCTTGGGCCTGCAGGGCCGGGCGTGGGAAGGGGAGCGCAGTGTGCTGGTCGGGTCCCTCTCCTGGGCCTTCCTTTCCCGCCCCTCTTCCTCTCTCTCCCTCCTTCCCTTTCTCCCTCTCTATTCTTCCGTCCCTTCCTGTCTCCTTTCCTCCTTTTGTAGTGCTAAGCAGGAGCTCTACCACTGAGCCACCCTCCTGGCCTCAGACTGAGCCCAGGCTTCACTCTGAGCTACCGCCCAGCCTTTCTTTTTGTTTTCAGACAGGGTCCCCCCAACTGCTAATTTGTCTGGGCTGACCTTGAACTTGTGACCCGACTGTCTCAGCCCCAAGAGTGCTGGGGTTACAGTTGTGCACCACTGAGGCAGCCTTGCTAAGTTGCCCAGGCTGGCCTCAGACGTGTCACCCTCTTGCCTCCAGCTCCAGAGTAGCTGAGGTTTCAAGTGGGATCCAGGGGGACCATTTGGGTTTCTGAAGAGGGGTTTCCTGGCCCAGAGCCACCACCGTCAGTGCCATGGGCTGCCCAGCTCTACCATGGTCCAGCTGGCTGCACCTCTGAGACTGCGCCCTGGCCCCTCTCAGGGTGCTCTGGCCCCTTTATTTATGATTTCTTATAGTGCTGGGGTTGGAACCCAGGGCCTTGAACATGTGGGTTAGGGAAGTGCTCTACCCCGAGCCACACCCCTGGCCTTTTCCTTCTTTTTTTACTTGCCCTGTCCCTTTAAGAGAAGCAGGTGGCCGCAGAGTGGGGAGCGGTGGCCTTGTGTAGGGATCTCTGCTCCTGGTATTTTTCTCTCTGCTACTACTGGACGGGGGCCAGAGCAGGTGACGTGGCTGATGTAGACAAGGGGACTGTGTATAAAGGTCACCTGTGTCCAGCTTGGGACAGTGGGAAGCAGGGGACAGTTATGGTACTCTGCTAAGGGAGACTCTGCCCCCATCCTGAAGGGTGACTATGGGGAGGTCCCTCGTGCCCAGCCTCAGTTTCCCCACCTGTAAAAGAGGGAAGGTGCTCCCGAGGGTGTTTGTAGGGATGAAAGGACAGCAGCAAGGGAGCCTCTGCAGGACGCTTGCATGGGCTTGCAACGCTGGAAACGCCTAGAGCCCGGCCCCTGGCTCAGCCCTGGCCACTCACCGGAGCTGGCCCTGCAGGTCCACGAAGTCCTGCTTGGGCAGAACCACACCCGGGCTGGAGCAGATGACCACGGGCTGGCGGTACTGGAGGTAAGCAGTCTTGAGCCACCACTCGGACAGCTGGGGAAGGTGCAGACCGTGTCAGGGGTGCCAGGACCTGCAGCCCCTTCCTTCCTGGGCTGGGCACTGGCTGGTTCTGCTCCGCGGCACCGAGTCTCCCAGTGACCGCCAAGACCCAGCACACCCTGCCCTTGCCCTCATCCACAGTCTCCCCAGCAGAAAGGCTGGTAGGAAACCTGAGGCTCAGGAGGGGGCACAGGTTTCTTTCTTGTGGTGCTGGGGTGAGAACCCAGGGCCACGAGCACGCCCAGCACACACTGTCACTGAGCTACACCCAGCCCCGAGTCTGCTTTGATCTTCCAAGTTCTCCGTCAATGGCAACGCATCAGTGAAAACAGATGCGTCCCTCACAGACGGAAAGGATAGAAGGGAAAGTTGGGTAAAAACCAAGTCCAGCCAGCGAGTTCCTGACAGTCTCAGGCTGGGAACTGTCCGAGGAGACAAGGGCCTGCTGTCGGGCAGCCCTGGGGACCCTCTCAGTGGCCTCAGTTTTGCCAGTGGCAAACTGGGAAGGGGATACCCACATTGATCCCAAGGTCAGGGCAATCTTGGAGGGCTCACAGCGGGGACAAGTGATTGTGCTGGTGACAAGGTGTGGATGACACGGCCCGAGGGCCTGTCCGGAGCCGTACCCCGCACACAGCCTCGCTCCCCTGCCCGCTGCATCCCACCCTACAGACTCCTCCTGGGGAAGTGCTGGTCCCTGGCCACTCGCCTGGACCTTGCAAGAGGTGCGGGGAGGTGACCTGCCACAGGTGGGACACCTCCTCCTCGCTCACCGCCTGGGGATGGCCCTGGGTCAGCCGGGCTCCCCGTGAAGCATGGGGCCTCCGCAGGAGCTGCAGCTATGCTCCGGGCTCTGGTCCCCTCTCTGGGCCCCAGTTTCCTTAATAGCAGGGAGGGGCAGGCAGGACTGTTGGAGCCTCTGCCTGCACCTGGGCCACAGGAGAGCCTGCAAGCAAAGCGCGCCTCCAGGAAGACTTCTCGGTGGTCAGCAGCACCCCTAGAGGGGAGCAGGTAGGCTGAGCCCCGCCTTGTGAGCTCTGAAAGAGTCCCTGGCCGAACCACCTGAAAACCCCAGTCCCAGCCCTTCAGGGCCTACATCCTCACTCTGACCCTAAGGCCCTGCTAGCTGAGTGCGCCTGCTTCCCACCTCGCACGGGCAGGAGCCCCAGGGCCAGGGGTCCATCTGCCTGCCCTGTGGCGCCTCCTACTCCCTAGTGTGGGCAGCCTTCCCGGATCCAACCAGGACAGGATGGGGAACGTTTGGTCGGAAAAAATACCCAAGTGCATCTGTATAACATTGCAGACTGTTTCACTTGTCACGGTCCCCTGAAAGACACGTGGTGACCATTCACAACACTAATGCAGGTATCAAGTCACCTGGAGGTGACTGAAAGTTGCAGAAGGTGCGCACAAAACACTAAGCCACTTTGCAGAAAAGACTTGAGGGTCACAGGTGTGGTCTCTGCCAGGGCCCTGAGACCGGTCCCCTGTGGACACAGTTCTCCCACATCCACACCTCCCCAGCCAGCCCCAACGTGGCAGCCCTGGGCCCGGCTCACAGACAATCCTGGCCTCCGACCTCCTCTGCCCTGACCCAGGCCACCTGCATCTCCCCGGGGGTGCAGGCATCCGCCACTCTTTCCTCCCAGCAGCCTCTCTGTTCCCTGTGTGGAAGTAAACACCACGTGCAGGAAGTAAGTGTGCCAAACACTCCAGCGGACAAAGCTGGCACACCCGAGGGACACAGCACGGCCCAGGCCGCGAGTTACTGGCCGTCCCACCAGCGAGAGTCCATGCTCCGGCCCCTCAGCTGGCTCCCTCACCCGATGCCCCTCCAGCCTTCCTGCACACACCAGGCGGTTCCCCCTTAACCCTGGTTCAGATCTAGGACCCCTCCTTCCGCCCTCCCTGCCCACTCAATGGAAAGATGCTGCCAGCTGCTGCCCTCACACTTCCCCTTCCTAAAAAACAAAACAAAACAAAAAAACCACTTCCCCTTCCTTTCCCCGTTCACAGGACTCCACTGTCTGCCTGCAAGGGCCTCACACACACGGACCTGCACTCTGCCCCCATGTGACTCCCGGCTCCCAGAGGCTGTCCCTGTGTCCCTGGCCACCCGGCACCTGCTGAGTGCCAAGCACAGGGGAGTAACCGGGAGCCTCCACAGAGCAGACCCGGACACGTGCCGGCGGCTGGCATGGGAGATCCCATGTGCAGCCAGCAGCAGCCATGGTGAGTCGCACCAGGGAACCCCTGCACTCACCCAGTTCTCCGACTTCTTGGCCCTGCGCTCCAGCCCCTTCTGCAGCCGCTCCCCAACGCCCCCAGGGCTCCGGAACTCATCCACCAGCTGTTTGGTGGCGGCCCATTCCTCCTCACTCACGATGGGCTGCAGCGCCTTCAGGTAATGGTCCAGGGACTGCTGGAGCGGGGGCACGGGCAGCCGTGGCAGTGCATCCTGGTGTGCCTTGAGCCTGCCAGGAAGCTTCATCAAGGAGGAGGGTCTGAGGAAGCCCAGCGGCTTCACCTGCAGGCAATAGAACACGTTGTTCTTGTTCGTTACCTCAGTGAGCCCTGAAGCTCCTCAAGACGAAGTCCTAGGCACTTATGAGCCTGTCCTGGTAGAGAGGTGGCCTCATGGGTGGCACTTACCCAGGCCTCCCAGCCCCCGGGGCTGTGGTGTCCCCGCCTCCTGTGAGGGCTGGACGCGCAGGCAGGCACAGGGAGGGTGAGGTGTGGCCCCGGGGATCCCAGTTGGGGTACATGACACTGTGAGGGTGGCAGAGGTGTGGGGGACCTCCCCATTGTCTGGAAGCACAGACACCACCCTTCTTTGCCTGGAAAGACAGGTCACCCAGACTGGTGGCAACTCCCTCTCCAAGTCCCCACCTCCTCTTCTTTCACCCGTTCTAGACTGAGAAACAGGATCAGGGAGCACAGAGACCTAGAGAGTGCGGCCTCGGGCTTTCCTCCTGGGGGGGGGACGGGGCAGTGAGAGATCTGAGTGTCCTGAGTGAGCAGTGGCACAGCAGGGTCCGGGAGATTCTGGAGGCAGCAGAGAGAGAGACAGAGACAGGAGGGGCCCTGGCTGCTGGTAGGCGGCAGGCAAGCAGCAACATCTCTGTTCCATACCTGCTCTCTGCTGCCTGTCTTCCACAGCCCAAATGAGGTCCCAGCCCCGTCTGTCTGCCTTGGTTGGATCGCTAAGCCTGCTACCCGGAGATGAGCAGAACCTAAGGAGAGGCAGTTTCCTGCCTGGGCAATGGCCAAAGTTCAAGGGCAATGGCAGTGGTGTGGCAACTGGGGTGGCATCTGGGGTGTGACAGTGGCAGAAACTACTGGACTGTGGCAGCTGCTCTCCCCTCTGTAATTTCCAGACAGAGAAATGGGACACAGGTGAGTGGCTGGCAGTGGGCACCAGAGTAAGAGGGAACCTGGAAAGCTTCCCCTTCCCGGCTCTGAATGGGCCTAGTGCCAGGGAGGCAGGCCAAGAGGTATTAAACATTCCACCTGCTGAAAATCCATGTAGATCTTTTTGATATGGGAAAACTTGGCTGGAGGGTGGAAACAGCCAGGCCTGTAAACCACTGTGGCTTTGAAAGTCAGCCCTGCAGTTGGGGCCGGAGCAAGGGGATAGACCCCTAGAAAAGGTCACCAAGAGCCCTACCCATCCCCTTCCTCCCTCTGGATTCTTGGGCTCTTCCTGGTCTCTACGAAAGCTTGGTTTTTCTGAGCAGTTGTTCCTTCAGCCAGAGGCCCAGAATACAGGACTTCTGGCAGGAAAAATTGAGGATTAGGGTAGATCTGAATTAGCAGATGCCGGGCACCTGGCCAAGTTCCCTCCTGACTCAGTTTCCCCAGCAGTGGGGGTCATCGGCCCAGCTTGGTGGTCCTGGAATCATGGAGGCACCTGTGGGACAGGGCACGGGCTCTGATGGCCAGGAAGAGGGTGAGGAGGAGGCTCAGACACAGGAACACCCAAACAGTCAAAGTCTGAGCCCAGACGGGAGCCCTCAGCCACTGGCCAGGAATGTCTGTCCCTGGGAGGCAGAGCCCTGCCAGCAGAGACATGCAGGATCAGAGAGGAAAGGGACCCAAGCTTAAGACAGCAGCTTGTGGCTGGGAGGGCAGGTGAGCAGATGTGGACAGGAGGGGAAGGGAGGGGCTGCCACTTGTGCCTCGGCCAGCTGGACGCCTCCACGTGAGCTTCTCTGGCCACACACATATCCCTGGGGGCCCAAGGGCACTGACCCGCTGGACAGGCCTGGAGATTGGCTGTGGCCGGGCAGGGGCGGGACACACAGCGGGTGCGGCTGGGCTCCGGTCGAATGCGGGCCGCCCGGGCCGGG